GACAGGAAGTTATGCACACGCAAACAGGAAGCGGACAGGGGTTCGGCTGTTTTCTGCGACCCTGCTGTGTTTATTTGTGTTGTTCGCTTGTGTTATATGCTACATTTTTAACAATGCAAATATTGAATTTACAAATGTAGACTTTTTGGGAAGCAGTACTGGGAAATTTGTGGTATTGGAATGAAGTGAGAGATGTCAGCGGTGACACAGTATGTCAGCAGTATGAGCTGCTGCTATTTTGGACTCGCGGTCTCCTTTTTAAAACACCACAACAGTGAAACTTCCCTCAGCATGCAAGAAACTAGGTCTGGTGTTGCCGTCCCAGAGCTAATCAAATGAAATACGGGTCAGAACTTGAGCACTTCATAGATTTTTGCCAGTTAACTTAATACTTTGTCCATGTTTAAACTACCATTCAAAAGTTTGAGGTAGATTTTTTTCATGTTTTTGAAAAAAGTATCTTATGCTCATCAAGGCTGCATTTATTTGATCAAAAATACAGTGAAAAACAGTAATATTGTGAAATATTATTACAATTTAAAATAACGCTTTTCTATTTGAATATATTTCAAAATAAAATGTATTCATGTGATGCAAAGCTGAATTTTCAGCATCATTACTCCAGTCTTCAGTGTCACATGATTTCAGAAATCAGTCTAAAATGCTGTAAATAATTTAAAGGAAACTGACATTTTTTTTCCAGGATTCTTTCATGAATAGAAAGTTAAATTTTTGTATCAATGTAAGTCTTTATGGTCACTTTTGATCAGCTTAGGTCACCCTTACTGAATAAAACCATTAAGTTCTTTTCTAATAATAATAATAATAAAATATTCACTGACCCCAAACCTAAGTGTATATTCCCACAATTCTTAAACTTTCTTCACAAGAACAAACTCAGGTCGTCTGAATCCTTTGGTTATTGTGTTACCGCTCTCCAATAATACTCAACAAAGACAAAATTACTCAGCAGAACTAATAATTATAATGAATGCCCCTGAATTAATACATAAACAATCTCGATAAAGAGCAAAGCAGGTTTAAACAGAGGTTTAATAGCATGTGGATGAGTACTGCCCATAATTGGTTCTGACAATATGATCATTTTAAAAACAGCCCTGTAATTGTATGAATTTCATTAAAATAACAGTCATCAAATCATAGGCCCATTAAGCCATTCCCTTCCCTCATAGATCTGCTGGAAGATCTCAAGAAAGCAGCACACGGTTGGTCTAATTAGTTCAGTTTGAACTCTTCCTGCTGTGCATTTACACAGAAGACATGCTCCAGTTTAAAAGGTTCCAGACCACTGCAATTCAGCACATCTGTTATTACATTAAAGGCTTTATCTCTAATATCTGATTTTTTTATAACTAAAGATGCTCCTTACAAGTTAAGGTCTTGTGGGATACAAAAAGTAATAAGAATGGATCTTTGTCTTTTCCTCATGTCACCATGTCAGGATGAAATATGGTAGTGACAATGTATTGTTAAAAATTACTTGGGCTATACATGAGAACATACAGGTTTAATCAACATTCCTATCAGCAAATGACCTGTTTAGGGAAGATTTGCAGCATGGGCATGACATGCAAAGCATGCTGTTGTTCTTGCTGAAATTTCCATAGCCAGATAACACAGTTTGAATACTGAGCAGTTCGCTTGGAACAATCCATCTAGTTCTACAACCTGAAAATCATAACTATGAATCTAAAAGTCTTGCATTTATTCCAGCTCCTTCAACACACACACAACATGACCAATAGCATGATGCTCAGAATGTCTCTGCTTGTTTGGCAAAAGTAACAGCAGTCTGTTTGGATTAAACCAACATGTGGTTCTCTGATGTATTGCATTGCTTTTAATGGGATTGAATGGTCTTTCTGATCCGAAGCACTGCTGACACAGCACTGAACCTGCATTACACCTATCATCATCTTCATCACCGCTATTATAGGTACAGAAGGGCTGTAGTAAAAACATACTGATGACAGATCAGATATTTCAGAGCGCATTTGAAGAGGTGTGTATGTAATTAACAGCCCGCATCCACAATAATGCATGAACCCTTCAGGAAGTCTGATGCAACCCCGATCTCTGAAACCCGGTATGTCGTATGGAGATGGAAAGGCTGCACGCGGAAATCAGCGACTCACCCTCGGAGAGCTCCAGCTCGAGCTCCGCCAGCTTCTCGCGCACCTCTGCCGGGAGAGTCATCGCGGTCGCCGGCGACGGGTCCAGCATTATCATCAGTAATCCGGTGGAACTGCGCTCTCGCATAATGATCCAGCTGGGTCAGACAGCTCCAGGTCCTCGCCGGCCAGAGGGTTTGCTGTGGCTCAGATCAGCTGGTGGAAGGAGAGGGGCGGGCGGGTGCTGGTCGCTTATCGCATGCAGATGTGAGACGTCTTGGGGCGGTTGCATATAGGCTGCTGTTTGCTTACAGCCCAACCGCTCGGACCACAGATCAAATGTTCAAATTTAAGATCCACGCCCTTCTTCAAGCCGGATTTAGCGCTGGATGGTCGTGCATGACTGAAGAATTCTTCGTAAAACAAAGGGAAAGTCGGCCAACTCCGCTCCTCAACGCGCCACCATCGCCATTGCAGCAGAGCAGCTGGGAACAGCGCGAGAACAGATCCAGCGCGTCAGTGATTCCTGTCTCACCTGCACACACACACACACACACACACACACACACACACACACACACACACACACACACACACAC